CTTCTGAGACAGTCTTGGCTTGTGCCAGTCTGATCTTGAACTCATAGTGCTCTGAGTGCTGGGACATCCGGTTGAGATTTTACGTATAGAACATGGGCTCATATGTTTATATTTTATAATAGAAATCATCTTCCACTACTATCAATGTTGTTTTTCCAAGTTCTTTACCTTAACTCATGGAGAGCTATTTTAGATTGTTTTTGCTTTAACCCCTCACCCTGTTTTGTAAGATATAGTTTCTTGTAGTCAGAGCTGACTCAAAACGTATGTAAACCAGGTTGGCCATGAACTCGAACTCTTGGCAATACAACTTCTACCTTGTGAGAGCCTGTATCCCAGGTATGCAGAGCTGTTTTATTTTTGCTCCATGCTTAGTAACATACCACTTCACCTGCAACCACAAAGGTTTTATTTTATTTTATTTTTTTATTTTTGTCTGTAAGTCATATCATTTCAGGGCTGTGAGATAGCTCAGTTTGTTTGTTGAGGTCCTGCCTAGTGTGCACAAACCTGGGTTCAGTCTCTAGTACTGAACACAGCAGACATTGTGGGGCATGTGGTAATGCCAGCACTCAGGAGATAAACACAGGCGATAAGGACTCATCATTCTTCTGCTCCTTCTCCTTCTGTCTATTCCAAGTTCAAAGAAAACCTGGGATATATTGTCTTAAAAAAAAGTTTTATTTATTCAGTTATTTTTTTTTGTTCAAGGATCCAAATTCAAGTCTTTGTACATATAAGCATGCTCTTTCCTTCTGAGTCTGTATCCCCAGCCTGTAGTTTTACATGTTCGTACAGGTATAGATGGTTCATTCAGATTGATTTTTTCCCCCTTGAAATACGGACTCCCCCCCCCCCCATTATTAGATTAATAGTTATTAAAATATCAAGGTGGACATTTAGTCCTTCATTCAATCCAAATAATTTAAAAATATTTTGTAGATTGATTTATTTTACCTTATATGTGATAAGCCTGCTTGTTTATATGTGCACTGCATCATTCTGGTGCCTGAGGAAATCAGAACATTTTGGGCTCCTTGGAACTGGAGTTAATGCATGTTTGTGAACTATGATGTGGGTACTGGGACTTGAACCCCATCCTCTGCAAGAGCAGCAAGTGCTCTTAATTGCAGGGCATCTCTCCAGCTGCGCCATGTAATATCTGAGTATTTACTTTCCAGGAACAATTTTTCTTTTCCAAGTATTCTTAATGGAAATGGCATATCTTTTGATAATATAATCTGGGTATTCAGTTGTTCCTCACTTTCATTCTTACACCAACAATGTTGCCTTTTCTTTTCTTTTTAATTTTAATATTTTATGTGTGTTTGTGTGAGGGTGTAGGGCCTTCTGTAAGTGGAGTTATAGACAGTTGTGAGCTGCCATGTGAGTGCTGTTAATTGAACCTGAGTCCCCTAGAGAAGCAGTCAATACTCGTAACCACTGAGCCAAAATTGCCTTTTTCTTTTCTTTTCTTTTCTTTTCTTTTCTTTTCTTTTTTCTTTATATTCTCTTTTCTTTTCTTCTCTTCTTTCTTTCCTTTTAGATTTATTTATTTTATGTATGAATGTTCCATCTGTATGTACACCTGCATACCAGAAGAGGGTGTCAGACTACATTATAGATGGTTGTGAGCCACCATGTAGTTGCTGGGACTTGAACTCAGGACCTCTGGAAGAGCAGCCAGTGCTCTGAGCCATCTCTCGAGCCCCAACATCGCCTTTTTCAATAGTAAGTTTTCTCCAAATCTCTGCCTGACTTTCATTGAGAAATAGGAATAGTACCAGACTACCTCATGATACAGGCATTTAATGATTTTATCTGTCTGTCTGTGCTGAACAGTTTGTGTGTGTGTGTGTGTGTGTGTGCGCGCGCGCTGAACATTTAAGGGGTAGATTTTCAGAGTTGAAGTCTTAAGTTTGCCTAGCTTTTTTGACAAAATTGTGGTATTATTTCTACTGCAAATTATTTCTCTCATAGAATGCACCAGTGAGCCTTCTGATCTGGAATTTTCTTTGCAGCAAGGCTTTAATTCTACAAATTCAGTTTCTTTCTTTTTTTCTAAATGTGTTTATTCATGTATATTTATGTATGTAAGCCCAGTTTGTGAGACCCCCAAAGACCACCAAGAATCGACTCCACTGCAAAACACATGAGGATCTTTTTTATTACAAGCCTGTTCCTGGGTTGCAGCAACCTCCCTGGTTGAAGAGGAGGATTCTGCCCCCACACCCCCAGGGCTAGGGGAACAAGATTTTTAAAGGGTGAAACCCCAAGAGGAGGGTTACATGCCTTGGCATTACATGATTGGGTAAGGGAAATTGACTTTTGAAATGATTGGTTTACTTTAGGTGCCACGACCATAAATGGTTCTGGCCTGGCCATCTGGGCAGGTTTCCTAGTAACTGTATCTCTAGTGGGCAGGAAAAGAATGCAGTAAGGCTAATTCCTTCCCTCCAGGTGGCTGGACATGTCTTCACCTGGCTGGCCTTTGTGCAAGCTTGTGCTTCAAACCCCAAACCAATACCCGAAAAAACGATTTTCAATTCTTTGGACTCTCATCTTTGTGCATATCAGAAGGAAGAATCCTATCTCATTACATGTGGTTGTGAGCCCCCATGTGGTTGCTGGGAATTGAACTCAGGACCTTTGGAAGAGCAGCCAATGCTTCTAACCATTCGCTGAGCCATCTCTTCATCCCCAAATTTAGTTTCTTTAAAAATTTTATTTATTGTGTGAACACAGGTTTTTGGAGGTCAGAGGACAACTTTTGGGGAAGTTGGTTATCTCCGTTCATTGTGTGAGTCCTGGGTCAGGCTTGGTAGCAAGCACCATTACCTGTTGAAACATCTCATTGGCCCCAAATTCAGTTTCTTTAGTAGATGTACGGCTATTCAGTTATCTCTTTTTCCTCCCCCTTTCCTTCCTTTTTCTCTTTCATCTAAAAAATATTTTATTATAGTTTATCTTGTGTGTATGTATGAGGTTGTTTGTGCCACAGTGTGCATATGTAGGTCAGAGGACAACCTGCAGGACTCTGCCCTCTCCTTGTGGTGTGTGTGCGTGTAAGTCAGACAGCTTGTAGGTTGCAGGGATTGCACGCAGGTTATCAGACTTGGCAGAAAGTGCCTTTCCTTACTGGCCCACCCTGAGGGCCTCTACCCATATTAGGCATTGCAGGCTAGCAATTTTCTTCCCTCCATTCTCTGTTCTGTTTGTGTTTTGAGAAAGGTTGTCGTGGGACTCAGACTGGACTGGTACTCAAGTTGTAGCCAAGGATGACAGTTATGGCCCTCCTGCTTCTACCACATGAGTGTTGAGACAGATGTATGTCACCACTCCTACTTTACATGTTTCTGTGGATTCTAGGCAAGTGTTCCGTGAATGCTGGGCAGAGTCTCTACCATCTGACCTGTATAGTCCAGTCCTGCTCTTCCTGAGTGAACTTTGACATTTGATGTCTTTCAAGATACTTTTCCATTCCAGTCAAGCTTCTGAGTTTATTGACACAAAATTGTTCCAGAGCATTATGCTTTATTAAAGCATTGTGGCAGGAATTCTACCACCTGGCTGCATCTCCAGCTCTTTATGTTATCTTTTCAATGTCTGGGAGACCTGCAATGAAGTCTGTAAAGATAAAGTATAATTTGGGGCCTTTTCTAGTCACTTGCTCTAGTTCCCAAACAATGATACAGAGACCTATTAGATCAGCAAGCATTATAGCACTAGGTCTCAGCAGATATTTGTCTGTTTTAACCCTCTGTGCTAGTCTGGCTACTTGCCAGCCACATGCCTCACATTATTTGCCATATCACTCCTGCCTGGGCTGCTCCATCAGGTCAGTACTCGTTGCGAGCTCCTCATAGCTATGTCCTTTCTACTCCCTTTTTCTTCTCTGTCTCTACCTCATGGTCCCTACCTGAGACACCAAAACTGGGCCAGAAGTCTAGCCTTTCTGTCTCCTCTGCCCAGCCATTGGCTCTCAGTTTCTTTGTTAACTAACCAGAGAAAATTGGGGAGCAATGTTTACACAACATTGATGCAGCAATTCTTCATAGAAGTGACAGTGCCCACATCCAGACTGTGACCAGATCTCAGGGCACAGAAATCAGCATCTGATTACTCTGCACCAGACCACCCCCCAACAGAAGTCTAGTTTTTCATTCCTGATTCTGGTAATTTGTCTTCTTTTTCCTTTCAGTGTTAATATACCATTGCTGAGGTTTTTTTTTTTTTTTTTTTTTCTTCCCTTTCTTTTTTTCATGAAACAATAAATCACTGTGTAGTCTAGGCTGGTTTCAACTCACAGAGATCTGCCTGCCTCTGCCTCCCAAGTGCTGAGACTTTTTCTGTTTTTTCTTCCTTCTTCCTCCCTTTTCTTTCTTCCTTCCTCTCATTCTTTCCTCCTTCCTTCCTTCCTTCTTTTCTTTTTTTTTTTGAGACTTTCTCTATGTAACCCTGGCTGTCCTGGAACTCACTATGTAGACCTGGTTGCCCCTGAACTCACAGAGATCCACCTGTCTCTGCCTTCTGAGTGCTGGGATTACAGGTGTGTACCACGACTCTCCTGAGACTTTTTCACTTTCATTTATCAGCTTGTCTTCAAAAAAAAAATTTTTTTTTTGGTTGTTCATTTTATTCCCAACTCTCCATGGTTTTATTGCTCTGACCCCAAAATAGATGGATTTCCGCCCCCTTTTTTTGAAATATGGCCTCACATGTGTGGCCTAGAACTTGTCATGTAGCTGGAGCAAATTGGTGGTGATTGTGTGTGTTTGTGTGTGCATGCACCGTGATTTGTGCATCTGAGGTCAGAGTACAATTTTTGGGAGCTGGTTCTCTCCTACCATGTGGGTCCTAGGTACCCAACTCACGTCATTGTGTGTGTGACAGGAACCTTTATTGGCTGAGCCATCTTGCTGACCCATGAATATTTTTCCTTTCAGTGAGTCATGTTTTTTACTTTAGTTTGAAGCCCCCACCCTCTCTCTCTCTCTTTTTAAAATACGGAATGCTTCATGGATTTGTGTGTCAACCTTGCACAGGGTCCATGTTAATCTTCTTTGTGTTGCTCCAGTTTTAATATATATGCTGCTGAATCGAGCCCTGCTTTATTTTATTGTATTTATTTATTTTTAAGTGTTGGAAAATGAACCCAGGGCCCTAGGTCATGTTAGGCCAGCATAATTTGCAGCCTTTTGATTATGTCTTGGCCTTGTTTTCTTAGTCTTGCTTTGGTTTTATAGAGTTTCTTGAATCTGCAATTTGATGTCTGATTATCTTATGTCTCCTTCTCAAGAAGTAGGGATTACAGGTTTATGTTATGCTGTGGATTGAACCCAGGGCATGTGCCATTGTGCCTAAGTTTTATTTGGGTTTTGGGGATTGAACTCAGATCCTCATGCTTGTATGGTAAGCACTTTACCTCCTCAGCCTTCATATAAGGTTTATTTTAATATTTATTTGTTTTTACTTTAGGTATATGAATGTGCTTGGTGCCCTCAGAGGCCAAAAGAGTATGTCTGGTCCTCTGGAACTGGAGCTAAAAGCAGTTGTGAGTTACCATGTGGGTGCTGGGAGCTGAACCTGGTGTCTGTGAAAGTATAGCTAATACTCTTGACCACTGAGCCATCTCTCCAGCCCCAAAGAATATATACATATTTTTTAACATAGAAGATTGTGTTAATCTTTTTTTTTAAAGATTTATTTATTATGTATACAATGTTCTATCTGCATGTACACTTATATGCCAGAAGAGGGCACTAGATCTCATTATAGATGGTTGTGAGCCACCATGTGGTTGCTGGGAATTGAACTCACAACCTTTGTTTGGAGCCATCTCTCCAGCCTGATTGTGTTAATCTTAATCTTTGAAAACTCCTATTTTTCAAATAGTAGTAAACTAGAGATAGCAAAACAGAACTTGCCTTGTTTATGTGTTTGTGATAATCTCTCCTAATTTACTAGAATTTTACAGTAAAGTTTTTCTTTTTATCTGATTGTATGTGCTGCTTTTCTGTAGAGTAGGGATACTTTACTTTTCTCTCTTTTTAAGTTCAGAGTAGAAGTTTAAGTTAGTGTTCCTTGTTTCCTTTTTGTCGAACAAATGGTATAATTATACTTTCTCTCTCTCTCTTTCTTTTTCTTTTTTCCTTTTTCTCTCTCTTTCTCTCTCTTTCTCTTTCTTTCTTTCTTTCTTTCTTTCTTTCTTTCTTTCTTTCTTTCTTTCTTTCTTTCTTTCTCCCTTTCTTCTTTTTTTCTTTCTCTCTCTTTCCTTTCTTTCTTTTGAGAAATGTTTTCTCTGTATAGCCCTGGCTATTCTGGAAGACACTTTGTGGACCAGGCTGGCCTGGAACTCAGAGATATGCCTGCTTTTGCCTCCTGAGTGCTGAGATTAAAGACTTGTGCCACCACTGCCCAGCTGTAGTATTTCATTTGCTTTAAAGCTCTTGGATAAATTGTGTTTCGTTTAATTTCCATAAAATTCCCAGGTAGCCATATTTTACAAAAGAAAACATTGGAGATTATCACCATGGTAACCTGGTTAACCTGTAGAATTGGGACACAAACCTAGGATTTGTGATATATTATCTGATCTGTATTAGGGTAATAACTTCACTGTAGAGTCAAGAACTGCAATGTTTGGTTTAGTGTGTGACTGATACCAGCTGTGGTGTCTTTTACCTTTAATCTTACAGTTTGGAACTTTAGTCAGGAGGATCAGAAATTGAAGACCGGCCTGGGGTAAACATAAAGGGCCTTTTGCCAAAAACAAACAAAAAACATTGCTTCTCTATAGTCCTGTTTGTATATGTGGTTTTAAAAAAAGATTTGATTTTAGTTACATATGTACATATGTGTCTGTGTGGATATGTGCATGTGAGTATGGGTTCTGTTGGAGACCACAGGTGTCGCTTTAGTTATAGGCAGTTGTGAGCCACTTGACCTGGGAGCTGAGAATCAAACATTAGTTCTCTGGAAGAGCAGTGCATTCTCTTAACCAGTGAGCCAACTTTCCGGCCCTTTTATTTTTGTATTTGTTTTTGAGATAGACTCTCACCTATTTCTCAGTATGTAGTCTGGGCTAGACTTGAACTTGAAGTAGTTAACTTGTCTTAGCCTTTAAGGTGATGGGAGATTATAGATATAAGCTTCTAGGAGTGGGTCTCTCCTTTGATTTTTTTTTTTTTTTTTTTTTTTTTAGTTCAGGTTGGTCTAAACTCCTGATTCTCCTGCCTCTATTTATCAAATGCTGGGACTATTGGTGTGGACTATTCATTGTGGACTGTGTTATTTATTGTATTCCTTTCTTTTCTTTTCTTTTTGGTTAAAATTATACATATTAGAAGTAATATAGGTAAATGATATATGTCTAGATATTTGACAGCTACCAAAGCCAAACATTCTAATTCTAGACTCTGCAGTGAAATTGTTACTCCATACAGATCAAATAATATGTCAGAAACCCCAGGTTTGGGTCCTAATTTCACAGATTAATGATGTTGCCATGGTGATGGAGTCTCCAGTGTTTTCTTTTGAAAAATAAGTATATCTTCCCACTAGGGGCTTTCTTCAAATGGAATGAAATAGAATTTGTATTTGTATGCATGCATTTAACGTGTATTGTTTAGGCAGTGGTGCCATGGTGCCCGTATGGATGTTAGAGGACAACTTGGCGGAACTGGTTCTCCCCTTCTGCCTTGTGGGTTCCAGGGCTTGGCCTCAAGCAGTTCTTTCTGCTGGGCTATCATGCTGGCCTCTCTTAATTTTTATTTTACACAAATATTTTCCTAGGTTTCACTTAATATATTCACCTATGTGTATTTTTTATTATTTAAAAAAAAAAAAACTATATATGATGAACTTTTTGCCTGCATGTATGTTTCTGCCTCCAGAGGCCAGAAGAGGGCCTCTGGACCTCCTGGACCTGGAGTTACAGGTAGCTGTGAGCCACTGTGTGGGCACAGTGAATTGAACCTTCCTCTAAGAAAAGAAGTCAGTGTTCTTAACCAAGCTATCTTTCTAGTTCCTCCACTCCCCTTTAAGAAAGGGTTTCACTGTGTAACGCTGGCTAGACTGAAATCTGCTATGTAGACCAGGTTGGCCGTGAACTAACAGTCAGCTTTTTTCTGGGATTAACAGTGCATGGTCAGCATGCCCAGAAAAGCAAAGGTTTCTTTATGTAGCTCATGTTACTCTCCATGTACTCTACTGGCCTAGAACATGTAACCCTCCAGCCTACTGGTCCCAAGGTGTTGTAGATTTGCCACCAGACCTGGCAGGGACACTTTTCTCTGTTACCAAATATTTTGTCAGTATATGTTTCATGAGTGTTAGCTTCCCCCCCCCCTTTCTTTCTTCCTTCCTTTCTTCCTCCTTTTATCCCTCCCTTCCTTCTTTTTTTTTTCTTTTTGAGACAGGGTTTCTCTGTGTATCCCTGGCTATCCTGGAAATCTCTCTATAGACTAGGCTGGCCTCCTGAGTGCTAGGATTAAAGGTGTGTGCCGTTACTGCCTAGCTTGTGTTAGCTTTGTGTGTGTGTGTGTGTGTGTGTGTGTGTGTGTGTGTGTGTGTGTGTATTTTTGAGACAAGGTTTCTGGAACTCAGTCTGTAGACCAGGCTGGCGTCTGCCTCCCTAGTGCTGGGACTGAAGGTGCTACCAACACATCACTGAGTGCTATCTGTTATGACTGGTGCATTACCAGCTTCATAATAAACCAGGAATGCCACATCATGGTATTTGGTTTTTAAAGTCAGACAGTAGGAAGGTTGGTTTCCTTTCACTGTTGGTTTGGACCTAAGTTCCTACAGAAGTTTTTTTTAGGAGATTCTGATGATGTTCTTCTTGGTTTACTTGTAGAAGAGCAAGACAGTGAAGAAACTGATAAAAGGAAAAAAACTAAAAAGGGTACCAAGAGGAAACGAGATGGAAAGGGTCAAGGGCAAGGAACGATGACATATGACCCAAAACTGGATGACATGCTGGATCGTACCTTAGAGGATGGTGCCAAGCAGCACAATCTGACTGCTGTCAATGTCCGAAACATTCTGCATGTAAGTAGCAGTGGGCAGCCACATGTTCTGCATAGCAACTGCCCATAGAGAAAAAAATAGACCCAGACATCCCTTGACTCCTGCTGTATGAATTAGCAATTTAGTCTTTTATATGTGACAAACTGTCTTACTTCCCAAAACAGCTTTCTCTCTGCGCTCAGCACAAATGTGAAGTTTGAACAGGTGTTGAGAAGATGAACTCCCTGTACCTCCTTCCACTGATCTAACCAATAATGTTAACACTATGTTAGAAAAACCATCCATAGTAGTTGATAGTGCTTTGAATATATGTAAAGAATGCCTTTGGGAACCAGCTTTGCATGCACACCAATGGCCTGCGTTGGATCCCCAGCAAGATTAAGAGAGAGAGAGAAAAAAAAAAAGAATACCTTTGATACATAATTTTCTTTTACCTTTTAGCTGGATTTGCACATTCCTGGTTCTAGTAATAGGTAATAAGTGGGGCCATTTGTTGCTACATTGTTTTAACACTTGCATCTGTCTTCCTTATCTTTAGCTACCTTGCTTGACCGGAGTTTGGAGCTGTTTGAGAATCTAGCTACTGTTTATCCTTCACAAAAATCTAATTGCAGAGTTGCATAGAGATGAATATAGTCCAAATGACAAATCCCTTGGCCTAAAGTGGGACTTCATTTCTCTCCTCCAGGAAGTAATTACAAATGAACATGTTGTAGCCATGATGAAAGCAGCCATCAGTGAGACAGAAGACATGCCACTGTTTGTGAGTAGCTTCTTGTCACTCTTTCCATGTCATGGAAACTTTCCAAGTGTGTGAGGGCATGTAGGAGTTTGTAAACAACTTGACATATCACAGTCTTGAAAAAAAATCACATGATGATTTTTACTGGCTATTTTGTTCCTATATCTCCCTTCTTAGGAGCCCAAGATGACTCGCTCTAAACTGAAGGAGGTTGTGGAGAAAGGAGTGGTATGTGTTCTGAGTTTTTCTTTATCTTGGGAAATAGAATCTTGTTCTAGGTTATTCATAGAGAAGAAATATGTGAACAGTTTTGGTCTAGGTTTGCCTTTTGA